ACTTGCTGCTGCTGCTGTTACCTCTGATAGAGGCTCATCGAAGAGCCGCTGCAGCAGCAAAGCAGCTGGGGATACACCCCAAACCCTGACGGTTGCATCTGCTGCTCCTGATATGAGACAGCCTTCACTCCCATTATAACATAAACTTAATACAGAGTCGAGGTGACCCACAACACGTTGCTTTTCCTTACGAACACCAGCAGAAGAAAACGCGTATAAACACACACCCTTGCTGCTGCTGCTGCTGCTGCTGCTGCTGCTGCTGCTGGTGTTGCCGCTGGTGATGGTTGTGGATTCAAGGTCCCGCTGCGGCAGCTGCTGCAAATAGATGCTGCCGTCTGTACACCCCAATGCTACAACCCGAGAAGAACCCAAATGTGTTGCGCTGCTCAGCGCGCTGTCTGCGACTCTGCGGTGTATGGCTGTAGAGTAGCAGGATATAGGCTGACAAGCTGCTGCTGCTGCAGCACCTGCTGCAGCACCTGCTGCAGCTCCCTCGAGAGATGTCACCTGCTGCTGCTGCTGCTGCTGTTGCTGCTGCTGCTGCTGCTGCAGCAGACGACCCTCAAGTGCATCGAAGCAGCAGAGACGGCCGTCCCGCCCCAACACCGCCACCCAACCCCTGCAGCACGAAACACCCGAAAGTCCTAGCCAGCGGCAGCGCACAGCCAGCTGCTGCTGTTGTCGCTGCTGCTGCTGCTGCTGCTGCTGAGCAGAAGGCAACGCGGCGCTGCCTGCTACTACACTCCTGCTGCTGCTGCTGCTGCTGCTGCTGGGCGTCAACGCAGCAAAGCGGCGCCAGGGAGAGTTAGCTGAGGAGACGCTGCGGGGGTGACGGGCCCATAGGCGACTAGCTGAAGCAGTATTCCACGCTGCAGCAGCACGAGTTTGCTGCTGCCGCTGCTCTTCTTGCTGCTGCTGCTGCTGCTGTTGCTGCTGCTGAGGATGCGAAGATCCTTCCAGCAGCAACTGCAGCAGCTGCTGCTGCTCCTTATCAGGCTTCGGAGGTGTTCTCCATTTTGGGGGAACCCTTTCAGCTGCTGCTCCTAGACGCAGTTGCTGCTGATGCCTGGATCGCTGGGCTGCAGCAGCAGCAGCAGCAGCAGCAGCAGCAGCTTCTGCTGCTGCAG